AAGTAAGCTTTAATTTCTTGCTGACGCAAATCTGCTAACTCTTGATAATTATTTACTTTTTCAATATTATTTTCTAATTCTTTAGATGTGGTAATCCCGAGATTTTCGAACATTTTTAAGTCGACTTTTTTAATATTGGCTAAACTTTCACCAAAAGGGGCATCAGAACTGTTAGCATCAGGATTTATTAATAATTGCTGAATAATTTCAATAACTTTTTCTGGAGAACTATTTTCATTACAGTCAACTAATTTTAATTCGGTGATAAATTTAGTAATTATTTCTTTTTCCTTTTGACTGAGTTGTTGCTGATAATTATCCCTTTCTTGCTCAGCTTTTTCCCGCTTTTGCTTTTCTTTATGATAATCATTTGCAAGTTGGGCTTTTTGGTTTTTCAGTTCTTCAGTTTTGGTAGCCAATTGGTCGCGGTCGGCCTCGGCTTGTTCTAGTCGGGTTTTTAGACTGTCATAATCACTGTGAAGTGGGTTGCAACAATCATACTTGCTATGAGTATTAAAGAAAATTATTAAATCGGTTAAACTTTGTTCGGCCGGTAGGGTTGGCAAGTCGGTTAAATCAATTATTTTTAACTCATTTTTTAGATAATTTTCATAAGTAGTCAATTTGAGGTTAGCATTAGTTAACTGATTAAAAAAATTATCTCTTTCAGTTCCAGTTGCTCCGTGGGCTAATTGTTCGCTAGTTAATTGTCCTTGGGTATGGGAGTGGGAAGTCTTTTCATTAGCCAATTCACTGCGGAGACTATGGGCTTTTTTTTGAAGAAGTTCCACTTTTCTTTGTTCGACCTCTAATTTTCAAGATTTTTGGACTAAATTATCATACTCAGTTTGGGTAATATCGGGACGGGCATCTCGTTCGGCAATTATTTTATCGATATCACTTTGAAATTGTTGGTTTTCCTCCTGTAAGTCATGAAGGCTTTGTTTAGCGTTGATTAATTGAGTTTTGGCTAAATCGTGAGTGATTTTCTCTTGGCTATAATTTTTAAAAGTTGGTCGTTTTGCTGGTGTAAGTCAGCGATAAGTTTTCAGTTTGAATCTATTTCAGTTTGCTGCTCGGTAGTTTGCTGAGTTAAACTTTCTTTCTCTTGACTTAAGTTTTGACATTCATTTTGTAAAACTCTAGTTATTTTTTGCTCATCATTAAGTTGGTTTTGTAATTCAGTTTGTTTAGTCAGCAAATTATCAATGCTGTTATCGGCCAGAATTAAATTTT